ATACTCATTTTTTCGACTGCTGTATAGGTAGTTGCAAAATTAATTGCAGTTGTTGCCCCAATTTACTAAATATAATTATGATCTGGAGGCTTGGAGTGCCCAAAGTTAAACTTTTAGACTCCAAACATAATATAATTGATTTCAGGTAAACTATAAATTTTATTAAAATAATATGTTTGTTGTTTTTTGTAATTTATTTTTGGGGAGCAATTTGTTAACTTAAATGCTCTAAGTGCAATATTTTACTCAAGCTTTATATGTAAGACCCCTTCAAAACTAATGTTATATTTTAAATAACTTTTAAGCGCTTATTAACAAAAAAAGGAGTCAGTACTTAAATTTCATACGAGCCGGTTAATTCTGTTTATATTTCCTTACATATTAGTGTTAAATATAACCTTAATAAATAATTATCTGCTCCTTTCTAACTAATATTTTTTGAAAGGGCAATTGATAAGTGATAACTTAAAGGCTTTTAGTGCTCAAAGCGAAGCAATTTAATTTTAGTCTAATATGTTCCGAGAAGAACTAACCATTATAAAACTTTCTTTAAATATTTACAAGACAAATAATATGCGATGCTGTTTTTTTAATGTTAAAAATACTTAAAAAATGCCCATTCATTTGCCCAAGAAATAATTTGAAAAGGTTCTATGGCTGCTAAAATAATTTAATGCGTATTTAATCAAAAAAGTTTTAACGCAGTTAACTATATTTGGATTTTTTGAAACGCTACATGATGTGTGATGATATCAACTTTTAAAAAGGAGTACATAAAAACTTGAAAAGATGAAGTGGTAAATTTCATTTGTTAAAGTAGTACTATTTTGTTTTCATTACAACTTATCGTTGCGGTTTTCACCCACACTCGAGCCTCTACTTTTTTTTAGCTTAATTACTTTATTTATAGCCTTACTATATTAATGAGTTGCTGTGCCGGTTTTTTACTTTCCCGAGTGAGTGGTTGTTTTAATTCTGCAGTTTATAACGTTTGCTGTCGTCCCTGTGGCATAAGCTCATCAAAGGCAACTAGAATTGCTTACGCCATAGTTTTTCTTCTGTTCGTAATTTTAGCTCGTCTTATGTTAATAGATCAAGCTAAAATTTTCTTATTAAAAATAAAGCCTTTAACGGAAGGTAAACTTCTATATATTTAATGGTAAATTTATGAAACAATTAAGTTTTAGTTAATATTATTAGATAGTTAAACTTTAAAAAATTTATATAAATGAATTTTCTGAAATAATTTATTTTATTTGCAGAGATATCTTCAAAGGACCTTACCAAGTTAGTTGGTAAAATTTTATCTGCATCATTTATGTTTTAATCTCTCTAAACCTTTTTACTTAAGGCTTCTCTGGCGTTTTTCGTGTATGCTGGGCTATTTCTATATATTTTTTTACCATGTCAATTATAATGATTGGCGTCAAAAATAGCAAAGATATTCGTAAAGGCTTTCAAAATGGGTTTTTATATAGTCAACCAGTTTTTTTTCGTATATCGTGATATACCTATTGTATTTTTGACAACCTTTAATTTTCTAATACACGTTACTCCTCTTTCCAAAACGTTTACACTTATTTTTTTGGTTTGTCTTTCTCTAGGTGGTGGTCTTTCAAAATATTGTTTATCTTTGGCCTTCTAATTTGTGCTTTTTTTCTTCCCAACCGTTTTATGTACGCCTGGAGCATAATTGGCGCTATCGGCGCAAGTTTCTATATTTTAATTCAAATTGTGGTAAGAAATTTACGTTCAAAATACTTTGTGCTTTTGGTTTATCTTACTTTCACTAGAGGCTTTTAACCATTTAAGTCTTCAATTAATACTTTCAACTTATATAAAGTTAAATTTTATTATTATCTTAACCTTAATATTATATTTTATAAGCTATATATGACTTGAATTTAATTTATTATATATTGTAAGTTTATATTATAACTGCCATAAAGTAAGAGCTGAGTTTGACCAGAATAATAAGCTAAAAGCTTTTAAAATAGTTTTGAAGCAATTTATTTTTTTTAGAGGGAATTGGGTGTTGATGATTATTTTAGTAAATCTTGCTTACGTTAAATAAAATTACTTTGTCTATTAAATTATCTAGTAATATGAAGTTTCATATATTTTAAATTAATTCTAAAGTTTTACTTTGGTATATCTAATTATTTTAGTTGTTGATTGATTTTGCTTATTGTGCTCAAGCTTACTTAATAGAGAAGTGGGAATCAAGTGAGAGTAAAAGTAAACTTTTTATTTTTACCTTTAAACTTAGTCTTTTGTATCTTATTTTATTATAATAAAAATATAAAGGTTAATATTTTAGTAATTAATTATTTTGTATGTACGTAAATTTTATAAATTTCATAAAATTTATATAAATATAAATAAATTTTTCTTTTTATGCTTCAAAAAGGCAAGTAAATATATGGGGAACAATAATTATGTACTGTTTAAGTTTGTAAAACTCTAGCTCACTTGAAATAAAAAGAACGGATTTATTATATTGTAAATTTCTTGTTTTATTATCTTTTAACCGAATTTTCCTTTAGAATGGATTATAGTCTTACTCTCTGTCACTTTCGGATTATTTATTTTTTCGATTGTCATAACTTCGCTGATGTATATCTATTTCACCGATTCTTCTTCAAGAGAGCTGTCTCTTATTTTTATAAGCCTTAACATTTTTCTATCAACTTTTATTTCAGGTCAACATATTATCTTTAATAACACGTATCTCTAACTACTGTTAATATCAGCTATATCCGTAGTTCCGAAGTTCCAAGAGGCAAATATTCGAGCTGGATTGCTGCAAGCCGCTTTGATCACTGCATATTCTACTTACCTTGTTTTTTCCGCTGTAAGTATATTAACTACGCGGATTTGCGTGTGTGGGGAGGTTTTTTTTTACGGTGTTCGCTTTTTTATTTGGTAACATGCATTACTGTAACTCTAAACTTTCAACTCTAAGAAAAACAAATAAGTTATTAGTTTTTAACTCAAAGGTTTACACAATACCGCTGCGCAAGTTTGAAAATTTATCGGATGCACAACATAAGTTGAAGGATTTCGCTAAATATGCTGGGTTTTAAATAAATAACCTTTTGTTTGAATATTATGAATTATTTTAATAATCTTTTCAGAGAATCTTTTACTTTTATTGCCATCGCCTACTCCACCGTACGAACATCCGAGTACTCATCCATGTCAGCTTTGGGCGTCAAAAGTTTCGATGACGAAGACTTTCCATTAGCTCAGGGGCATGACAGATAATAATACTAATTACTATTATTTTAAATAATAGTCGAAGATTATCTTGAGTAGAATAGCATTTCGAAACTTAAGTTTTAGATTGCATAATTTGTAGCAAGATGTACGATTAATATAATACTGCTAGTGTTTTGAAGTTTAATACTTCATAAGTTAATTGGAGTAGATATAAGGGAGTTTTGGTTTGTTAAAAAACTCTCATATATCGTACAATATTAACAATAACTAATAAATTAATAATAATAGTAAATATTTTTTAGAACTCTAAATTAACGAAATTGGAAAAATGAAATATAACTATTATATTTAATATAAATTTTTTTTAGAATTGAATACTAATGATAACACTTTGTAAATAATAAAAATTTTTAGAATGTATGCGAAGTAACTATTTAGAGAAAAGAAAATATAAAATATCTTACCATTTTACAGGCGATAGTGGCGACGATGAACTTGAAGGCTGCCGATACAACTGGTCCTTTTTCCATTGGACATTTGCACTGGCCTCGCTGTATGTCATGATGCTGCTGACGGATTGGGATCAGATCGCCTTCCACACGGTCAGTTCTTCATTGGTGCCATCCGCCATACAGTGGCGCGCCATGATATTAATATGCTACGACCACTATAGGACGGCACTCTGAACCTTTCACAAGGTGTTATGGGGACCGTATGGGCGAAGGTCGTCACCTCTTGGGTCGCCTTGCTTTTATATGGTTGGACTGTTGTAGCTCCTTCCGTTCTAAAGAACCGGGACTTTACCTAACAGTGGAAAAGTATAAAGCAAAAGTTCGCAGAATCTTGCATTACTTTTAAGCATAATAAAGCCTATTAAATTTTATTATTTATATTTATTTTTAGTTTTTTTAACTCACTTTTGAATTTAGTAGACAATAAAAGTTTTGATAACACTAATTTATGCAATTCTTAACTTAGTAATAACCTTTATATAAAATAGTTGCTCTTTCATCTTGTACCATTTGTAACTTTTTGCTAGTCATAATGAGGAATATTACTTGCTAGTCGATTTTAAAGTTGTTAAAAATAAAAATATGTTATATATAAATATTATATCTTTATAAAAGTAAAAACAGAAATTTAACTTTGCTTACCACCATTTGTTTAAGCCCCACATTGGTTCATTAGTTAAGCACGTTTCTTTCCGTTTGATACGATAACTGAACCATATTGAGGATTGCTACCAAAATTTAGGTAAAATTTACAAATGGCCTTATGTGCACTTAAACAAAAGAGATTCACTGTTTGCTCTGTTTTGACTAAACTGACTTCAATACTTATTTGTCCTGTAGTGTTTTTGTTTTTTACATAACTTAATTACTAGAGTTTTGAGTTTTCTTTAGATAACTTATGCCTTTGTAAAGTAGGCTGGGAAACCTATTTTATATTAAAATTTAAAACCTAACAGTAGCTTTCTGTAAAGAATAATATTACGAAAAAGATAATGGCTTCTTATATCTCTTAGTTTTATAAAAATTTTCTATTTTAAAGGTTCAATTAAACATTCAGAACATAAACATCACTATTATAAGTAATATTTGAAAAATTAGCCGTGTAAAGACTCCCGACTAAGGCGGGGACTTGACAGCCCCGGCCATTTTTCCTGGCTGTCTTTGTTGGTCTTCCTCCCCGAAACTGTATGGGCTATACCTCTCAGGTCCCTCGGATTAGGACTCTTGAACATCGCACTTTGAATAATGATGGCAGTAGATGATCGGTTAGTTATAGTCTTTAATTTAGTGTGAAGACAAGTAGTATTGATACACTGTATTTTAATTTACCTTATTATTTAACCTCTGATTTGATTTACTCTTTTTAATAGCTTTAATCTTACTATAATGAAAAAGATTTGTGGTTGCCAAGGAGTCTTAACTTTGAAAGATTTAAGCCTTAAAAAAAGCTTTACGTACATAAATGTATATGTATTATATATAAATTTTGATCACTTACTTTACAAGCTATTCAAACATATATAATATGAACTTAATTCTTATTTACATCTTATTTGGACTTTAGAGTTATAAGCTTTTCACTTTTAAAAGGGACGAACTCAGATTTTTAATAATTAATAATATTTTTTAATTATAATAGTTATATAGATATATAAATACACAAGTATATAGATTCCCCTATTACCTGTCACTTTAGCCTATGTAAAAAGGCTTACAGGAGCGCTCCTTTATTTGTTATAAGATTGCTCCTACAACAGCTTTTATTGAAATTTAACGAAGCTTTTCCAGTGTTATGGTTAAAAACAACTTTGGAAGCTCATCAAGCTACTTTCCTCTTTTCTCTAACGATAACTTCTCGGGTTTGTTTTATAAGAGTAACACCGCTAATAATCTATAATTCGTTCTTTTAAAAAATTGTTAGCAATATTTAAAAAGTAAGGCCAGAGCTTAAATTTTGGTTCGGATAACTCAAATATAACTTAAAGTTTATGTAACCATAACTAATTATTTAATTTTCATTACGAACACAATTCCTTATGAAGTAATTATTACACTTTATTCCGGTACAAGCTAACCGCTCTAAGTCGCAACTTTTCGCTTTTTTATATATTGTTGTAGATCGGTCTGCCTAACCTTTTGGAATGGTTAAACTTAACTTTGGAATTTCACTTAGTTGGTTGCAACTTGAGAGACGATGATGTGAAACACTTGAATTATTTAAGTAACGTAAGGTCTAATATTTCTGCCTTTATTATACTTTTACGTTAGAAGTTTGAGATGAGTTGTATAAAGATAGTAAGCTTTAACCTTAACAAAATTTAATAAACAGGTATTTGGATCTTTCGAGTAACTTCATAAAGGACGCTGGAATTAAGCATTTAACCCGTCCCCTTTTATATAAGAGGCGAACACTTCAAAGTTTAAGGCTCCTCCACGTTCTCGACGTTTCTGACAACCCTGTTAGCCACCGCTGCATTACCTCGTTGGTTTGTTTTGAGAAGTTGCTCTACTTTGCCATTTCTTATAAGAAAGGTTAATACTTTAGAGATAACAACTTGTGCACTAGTTGTAGCTAAGTATAAATTTTTTGTGGCTGCATAGGAGCTAAGAAACTCTGGTGCAAGATCGCCAAGGAAAACTTTGGCTTTGTTAGAACGAAAGTTACCAATTCTGCAAAACTATTTTTTCGAAAAGAACTTAAAAAGTCTTTGCTGGAGCCGCTACCTTTATTAGAAGGCATTCCCGAAAATTTCTATATCGATAATTCTGACAGCAACTGGCCTATCCTCACCACGAGGTTTGTGCTCTCATGGTTTTCCCTTTTAAGTCTCACAAGTTACCGAGCAGAAAACTGCACAGCTGCTTCGAAGAAGAATTCAACAATATTTCTCGTAGGCTCATCTTTTCTAAGACAAGAAAACCCACTCAAAACGTTTTCAGCGCTCGTCGTAAGGGAGACCAACAGTCATCAGGTGCCGCATAAATTTGTAGTTTTCTTTAAATCGGACTTACGCTTCGCGTAGCAGCCTTGAGAGGTCTTAAGGGCAAAGATTTGGAAAGCGACACGGAAGAGGACGACGGCCTTTTAAAGCAAATAGTCGCCGACGTCCACCGCAAATACCGGGTGAGATCAGGTCGTCTTGGATCCTCCAGCCCTCAGCAGGGATATAGTTACTTGCAATAAATATTTTTGATATTAAAAGTTCGAAATAATAGTCTTTCTTTTTCCCCCCTTTATTATACAAATATAGTTGCTTTGTAGACTAAAATCTTACAATTTCGTGTCTAAACACGAGGATAAAAGAAGTCCTTACGTAAAATTCTTTACTTACTGTATTACTAATTTGTGCCTACAAAAGATCAAGACTTATTTTTAGCCTTTTTAGAAATATCCTCCGCCGCACTATTGTAGCGTTTAGAAGCCTCTTCCTAAAGAAAATAAGGTGGTCTATACAAAAACCTTATAAACCTTAATATAAGCGAGAAAAAAGACCTGAAGGTCAGGTTTATCAGTATACAAATCCAAAATTTGCTGGCCAATCTCTACTTAAGATATTGAGAGTAGAAGGAGGGCGGTGGTAAAGTAAATACCGTCCATATCGGCCTGGGAAACGTCATGGCCGACAAACTGGTGAAACCTGGTAGCACCGTGTAAAACCTTGGCGTAGCAGAGCCACAAGCATAATACCAAGGCTCTTCTTTCCCGGCGGGACCATGTAGAGGGTAGTTGTTGCGCTTGGCCGCTAGAGCAATGGCCGCGCAAGAAATAACCTGAGGAGGGCGTTGCAAGCATAACGTTGTCCGCAAGCTGTGGTGGACTGTTACAATTGAGCGTACTTGAGTTTCATAATATTAATATAGTAAACTGCCTATCATTGACGTAGTTCCATGCCGTTTGAGCTAAATAACGATCTCCTGTTAATTATAAATTAACAAAAGCATGCCGTTAACTTAAGGATCAAGTTCACACTAGCACAACCAGAGAGTGCTTTAACATAGCTCAGCAGATATCGATAAGGATGTTCAACAGTCAAATCAAAGCTTATTGTCTGAAGCAAAATCCTCTCGTTTCGAAGCAAAATTTCTCTTTTTCGAAAGTATTCCTTTGCGGCATGCCATACAGCAATTATAACATAAAGTAACAATAAGGCATCCATATAGCAAATTTATACGTCGTCTGTTTCTTTGAGCTCAACGCCACTAGAAAAGCTGGTACTTTTGATAATTATGTCCTTAAGTTTCTTAGGAGAATCCTCCACCTTCCCCGCCAAAAATAGGCAACAAGAACCTACGTCCTGTCCGCGTAAACGAGATACGAAAATTAAATTAAAATAATTCCAGTAATAAAACTTGCATATCCGCTCACAGAAAAATAGGTCTGCATGAGAATATAAATAATAACACATGACTTCAAAACAATGACTGGGTAGTTTATTACGTTAAAAAATTAATGTTAAGGCGAAAACTTAATTTCTCACCTAAAACCTTATACAGTAAACTTTATATGACAAGTCGCTCAATTCTTATTGAAAAACAACCTGTACAGGAAAATCTTGAAAAGACTGGTACAAATAAAATCTTTGAAAGAAGACAATAGCGGTTGCAATGGCAAGCTGAGGCCTATAGAAATCAAATTATAAACTCATAAAATAATTAGAAAAAAATAACGATACATTTTCATATATCTTCCAATATCTTGGACGAAAGAAACACCCTCCGCCCTTAAACGCTCAATTTGTTTATCCGTATAGTTGTGAGCTTTACTTGCTGTTTGCTTTAATTGTTCTTTTGTGAAATACCTAAAGACAAACGCCTTAAAATGTAAAAAATCCTTTATAAAATAAGTTTACTAACCAAGAAAAGTCAGTATCTTTAGAAACATTTTTTTCCATTGAGACAAAAGTTATTATATATACTTTTAATTTTAAAAGCAAATTGAAAATTTACTTACCGTACTCACCGCGTTTTAACACAAAAAAAATCCAGTTTTTAACTAAAAATTAGCCAGCTACTTAACGACCACTAAGCATGTGGCAGAGTAACTTTTATCGTGCTACTTTATTAGGGTTGCTGGGTCAGTGAAAGTACATATCCTTAAGTTCCCTCTTAGGGCCTGCGTGCCTTGGACTGTTCGGTCGGAATTGTGATCCTTCGCTTAGTTGTTTGTACTTTCTTTAACTAAATTTAAGGTTATTGTATCGCTTTACGTTTAGTTATAGTAGAAGCTTCCGAAAAAGATCGGACCCATTCTAGACGTAACTGCTGGGTATCTTATTCCTGGGCGGTACGCATTATATCTATAGTACTACTACCTAGTGCCTCCCATAGTCCATACACTAATTACTACTATCGCTAGTAGCTATGCGTACATACTATACCTCAGCGCACCAGGCCTAGTACCTATAGTTAGAGCAATACTATAGGTAATAATACCAATAAAGCCGCGAGCCAGTATAGCACTGAGGCCTAGACCACACCACTCATCACATAGTACTTGCTCCAAACGCTTTGGTACGCAACTAGTCGCTAATAAGGAGTGGTTATTACGTAACTTAGCTGATTACAATAACCTCTAGTCAATTACACAAGTTGTATTACTCAGCTTTTCCATTGCTTTTTACAGAGGATTGTCCTCGGATGGCAGTGGTGGTATTCAATGCGGAGTTTGTTACTCTAGAGTCATGCAAACTGTATGCGTCAGTCTCCTGAGTTCCGAGGCTCAGCATAAGATGTAACAGTCTGAATACATATAAGATAGAACCTGCTACAAGACTCCATTCAGGTACAGGTTTTTACCAAGTTTAAGAGAATATCTTTGGATAAGAAGCATGATGCAACCTGCAACTCTCCTGAGTTCGAACGATAACTGTTCGAAACAGAGCTAATCAGGAAGTTACCATAGTCTCGTTCCACTGGTTTCACAGTTAATTAGCTGTTGGTGTCAACAATGTGGTTAAAATTTAGTTTTTGAATTTACAGTAACCACTAAGGTGACCCGAATAGAAAGTAGAGGGTGAAATGACCCAACCAGATGTTTTTACATCCAGCGTTGAAATCCGACTCAGATGGCATCCTTTTAGCCAACTTTGGTCCACACCGCGGGAAGCTTCAAGGAATAAACGTAATGCTGAACACATCATTTATAGATAGGCACAAGCTTTTTCGTTCTCTTTTACGATGATTAATCGTAAGATCTATACTTTAAACTTAAAATCTAATCAAAGAATGTACAATGCTAAGCGATAGTCAAAATATATAACTAACGACATGACACTTCTATTCATAGCACAATTCTATTCAGCTCGCTATAGTTTGTGGTGGGGCCCCCCTCTCTTCCAGAAGCGGACTTACGAAGGACAAATACCGATTTTTTTAGCTATTATTGAGGAGCTTCGTTAAAAGCTGATGGTTGTGATATTGAAATTACAGGCTTTTGAAAAAAAAAAAGTTTTTTTTTGAAAACAAGACTAAACCACTTGAGCCTGTGAAAAATTCTTTTATTAAAATTAATATTGCAATATGCTACCCTGCTCCTCAAATAAGAAAAGACACTAATAACAACGACACACTAATAACAACGACATTAATGGTAGTAAAATACAATAAAAAAAAATAATAATAATATATGAAACAAAAAAAGTAGCAGTAATAAATTTAGTATTAATACTTTTTGTAGATAACCTTAGTGACTGTAACAATCTTTATTGTAAAATTATTGGTTTTACCACCAAAAACTTTATTTTTAATAATAGCAACATTAAGTTAAAGTTAACAAATACACAAAAGATATGCCTTTTATTGAGCTCATGAAGGTAGCCTTAACTTAGAGATGAGCAATATTATTCCCCATGCCCGATGTACCTCTAGCAACGCTGAGTTACCTTCCGCGGCTGCATCTTTCTTAGGCGAAAATGATTTCACGCCTGTGGCCCTTTGAGGAAAACAGAAGTGGAATCTTATTTTAAAACTTCTGCTAGCCAACGGCGCCAACAACATTCCGAAGCCTAGGGACTCAGGTCACGGAATAAATCTATATTCGGCAACAGCAAGCGAGTGTCGAGCCGTCACTAAGCTAATGCTAACGCGTGATGAAGCGCTACCACAATTTACTGCCTACCATTAGAGGACAGGCCTTTAAAGTTTATTCTTCGCGGAATTAATTGCGATCTCGACCGCGACGTCCAAACTCCGAGGGAGATTCTTAACGCTTTACCGAGAAGAAAGGCTCCTGGCCCCCGGCTACTCGGTGTGTGCCACCCGCTTATTTAGTTGCAGATGAAATGCTCTATGATATAAACCTCTCTCCTGATGCCTATATACGGCTCGAGCCACTCATCCTAGTCGAATTATATGCAGGTTATTAACGTTTTACCGAGACGAAAGGCACCAGGCCCCCGGTGTCACCATTGGTATGTTAAAGCAATTATTAACGGTGGGCTGGTAGATAGTCTATGCGGGCTGACCAGCTCAATGGTGGTTCTCGGTCACCTTCTTATTGCGCTGGAAGACGGTAACTGTTGTGAAGTTCCCGAAGACACCCCCAACCAGCAGCTACGCCGAGCAAATACAGGTCTATCAGTCTCTTGTCCGCCGTTAGCTAAGTAGCTGAGGCGGTTATATTACGCCGCTTGAAATCTTCTATTGGCGCACGCAAGCCACGCCCTGCCAAAGTCTACTTTATATTAGAACAAGGACACTTCACGACGCACAACTCCTTCGCCTTACGGAACGAACGACCTGTGCCTCCAATTTAAAGGAGGCAACGGGCACCGTTCTTTCTTGGTGTCGAAATAACGTTTGACCGAGCTTGGTTCAAGGGCTTGTTTCACAAATTTTGCGCTTTTTTTTAACTCTTCCTACTGTTCTTTTTAACGTGATTAAATCTCACCTTAAGAACCACCGCGTCTTTAATATTACGTGTGGGCACTGCGTACTCACATCAAAGACCAGTAACAGCCGAAGTCTGTCCCATAAGGATCTCCTCTGTCATCCCTTCTCTTTGCACTTTATGTACGCGACGGTGCCACAGCTTGATGGCACCCACACGCGGGTTGCCTTGTATGCGGATGATACGGCGATTTTTACTCCTTGGCACAATCACCTTCTCTAACGCGTCAGCATCAGTAGTACTACCTAGTGACGTACCTAGTGACGCTGGTCAACTGGTGTGTCCACGTTGGGAAATAACTATTAAGGCAGAAAGGAGCGAAGCTTTTTTTTTTTTTTTCTTTTTTATCACGAAGCACTCTACGCGCCCTTGGTGTTGCCCTCTCGGGGTGGGGTTCCTTATTGACAGTAAGCTTTCGTGGCAGCCGCACGTAAACTACATCGCGGCGAAGATCAAGAGGCCGGTTTAAACCCCTATATTCTTTACTTACTGTCTGAAGCAAAATCTCGTGTCACATCAAACGGCACTTGTATGTGTTCTATATCCGGTCAATCATTATGCATCTGATGCCTGGGCCTACGACACACCTGGCCGGATTCCTTCGCTTCAAGTGTGACAATACAAGTTGCTACGCCTCATGACGGGCGCGCCCTGGTTCGTGTGCAACGATGCTTTAAATCAAAATCTCCAAATTGGATCTCTGAGTAACGTTTTTTGACGCACTGATGTCGCCACCTTCGACTGGCTCAATCGGCACACCAACCGATTACCGGCAGATGAGGTTAATACGACATTTGAGATGACCGCGCAAAGGGTTCTTAATTTATTTATTGGGTTAGGGCTAGAACTATTTTTGATGTATATACTTAAATTTATTTGTATTGGATCGCATTAACGCAAGCTTAAAGCCGATGTATACCCTATCACCCTCTTGAGAGCCCGTCAATTCCTCTTCTTATTTTAGGAGTAAATTCAACTAGCAACAAGCCGCAGCTATGTAATACAAATTTAACAAACGTATATTTTGCGTGCTAGTTTCTTTAAATTAACTTAGCTAAATTTTGTTATTTTAAATTGTTTTAAGTGGTATTGCCAGTAAGCGCTTTCTCTAAACGGGCTTTTAAAAATCATAATAGGAGGGTTAAATCTAGACCTTAAGACAAAAGCTCATACCAGTCGTGTACCCACAAGCATCTTATCTTTATATTACTCAAAGACTATAACTTATCAAGTTAGCACAATAATTTTTTAAAATCTCTGCGTAAATAGTGTTAAACTTATCATGCTTAAAAGTGGACATCGAAATATAGGGAGCAAAAAAGAAAATGTTATACATAAAGTTATTTGTTCTCAACCAAAAGTTTTAAAGCAGTTTAATAAAAGAGGTGCTTGACCTTGTAGAACTTAAAATTATAACAGGGAAGACCTTAAAAACTCTTGTTTGTATTTTAGAGTATAGCAGAATGTGTCGACCCTATTTTTCAAAAATGTAACTTAAAGGTATCACTATGCTAAAATTAAGGTACCGCCCTGTTTTTTAGTTGCTTGGTTCTTTTGTACCCATGTGGTTCTATTACACCATTGTATGCGACAGCGCCAAGTATAGGCCACGTTTGTAGAATTATAAGCAGGTCAAACTATTACTTACCATACCTATATGCACTTGTAGGATGGTGTCTTAGGTATGGTTGAACGCCGAAAGTATACCTACCAGATGGCCTTAGCAGTTTGGTTCCTTCCAATAGTTCAGTATTAAACCAAATTCGTGGTAGAGTTAGTGTTGCGATGCCTAAACTAGTACATGCTGACCCGAGTCTCCTTGCACCCCGTCAATAATAAGCTAGTTGCCTGTTAGTTCAATCATTTAAGGGAGCAACTTGCCTCATAGAATAGTTAAGATGTTAGTTAACTTAAAGTGAATATTAAGTTAACTCTGACTTATTCTACTAGTTTTCAAGTTATCTTTAATGTTTTCTTACCTCTCTTTTTTGAATGTGTACTAATTATAAGGGTTATAAATTTATTCTAACCACATAAATATAGTTAACAGGCAAAGGGACGGTTTATTTAGAAAACCCTATCTTACAGAGTAACAGATATTTTGGAGCTCTTCTCTTACTCACTTATATGCTACTTATATTTTGCTTGAGTTTCTTTGCAGAACGTGCTTTTCAAACTTCATAAGTATGGTGGTCCCGCGATGAGTGTTATGAACGCTAACCTTAGCAGGCTAAGATATACAAAGAAATTAAAGTCAAAAAAAGAAAGTTAAGGGAAGTGAAGACGCTAGATATTAATAATACGCGCCCTATAGCTCGGCGTTTTTAAGGTTAAAAAACCAATGTACAACTTTAGTTCTAAAGAACTAATAGAGTTCGCGCTTTAGTGTAGATCCCTAAAGAAAGCTTACGAAATTTGTCCCTTCCAAAACCGCCTCCACGATTCCACTTACAAAAGCAGCGCAATTCAATCCACTCTTATCGCGAGGGACAGATATATAGGTGTTCAATAGCATACTTTGGTCACTAATCATATCTACTTAGTAACTATTACAATAAATAAATATTTTGTTTTTGTATATAAAACATGTGTCCTGATCAGCGGATTTCTCCATCTCAATTACACCTTGACCAAAGGTTAACAGGGGTAATTAATAAACACAATATAATATTTAACCTGCGGGATACCCAAACAAAGATTTCCAGACAGTGGAGTTTATATAATAAAGTACTTGTATTAAATCTATATGATGCCTAAAACTTTTATCCCGAAATTGTAGAAGTTCAAGAAAGCGAATTCCTACTCTACGGCCAACTTCTGCCAACCTTAATAGTCACCAACGATAAAATAAAGAGGAATGAGATTAAAAATGGTTACACATAAATTTATAAAGCAAAGTTGTGTAAGTGCCTTTTTTCAAGTTCTGGAACGGAACTTACTCGAGTTTGGCTATATTGTACAAGCTCAGAAAATAATAAGGCAAAAAAAGAGAAGGAAATCTGCCATTTATAAGGCATTAGTGGGAAATTTTATCGGATTAATAGTATAATACGTTCTTTTTTCCACTCGGAAGTGGTGCCTCTATTATTTTGACCATCAAGCTTTTTAAAGACGGCAAGCAGAATTTTTATAGTAGGCTCTATTTTAAAGAGCAAAAGCAAGATGGTCGTTTTCAATGGGGGCAACTTTTAAAGGCAATTAAGTGGGTAGGTTTAACCACTGCGGGTGGCCAAAATGCGAAAATCGTGCACTTTGGTTCATCAAAATCTGGCAGTTTCTACCTTCTAATTAAAGGTCCATTCGTAATGCTCACAAAAGTTATATACGTAATTTATCCACCGAAGATGTGGGTTCTCGCCGTAGCTCTTAGAGCATTGGCGCGCTTCTCAAGGTCGCGAATTCGATTCCCGTCGGTGCCAACCCGCATTTTATGGCCTGGTGGTTATGTGTACAACTCCCCTACAAGTAAAAGTTCTGATAACTTCTCAGTGTTGTAAATTTAGTTCAGTGGTGGTTAGTAATTTAAAACGCACACATTTTATAGTAAAACTAATAGCAGGAACGTATCATTAGAAAGAATATACACTTAGTCACAAAAGCTTCCGACGATAAAGATACATACTTATCTTGAACTCAAAAAAAAAATTAACACAAAGCAGTTAATTAAGAAAACATATTTTTAAATATAATTGCATTGAAACCAATTAAGATTTACACAAATATAGTATGAAACTATTTAATAAACACCAATGAACAAACCAAAAATAAAATAAAGCAAATTAAATAAGCTTAAAAACATAGGTTCTTATATTATTGTTATATATACATATATATTTTAGTCATGACATCGTGGTTAAGTTATTAACTCCCATCAAAGAACTATCAACAAAATTAGATTTCGCAAACAGGAAGATTTTCGAACTTGAAAGTGAAGAAAAGAACTCCTGTTTTAATGCTTCGAAAAAAAGGGAAAAGGCGGTTCTTTAGCTCTAGAAACCCTAATTCTAATAATTTTTCTGCGGGCACGCCCGTAGATGAAGTCGAGTTTGCATTCACTGTTAAAAAGGATTATAATACTGCTAATAGTAATGACGATAATAAAAATAGTGTATTAACTAATATAGTAACAGTAAAGATAGTAATAAGTATAATACTACCAACAATAATGGAGAGGGCTATAGTAATAATAATAATGGTTAACTCCTATCAGCTACCTGAAGAGCGAGCTCTTAAAGTAATTATAAGAGGTGTTTTTATCTCCAGAATTGGACTGCGAAGAATTTAAAGATCGACAACAGGGATTCCACTCGTTAAAAGTCGCTTGAATGAAAAGCTTTAGAGATGGAAAGAAACCTCTTCCATATGTCCCCGTGCATCTAGGAAAACATATTAAATTTTAATATAAAAGGGCGATCCATATTTCTATGAATGTAGGTGTTCACGACACTAAGTTATTGACATTTATACTTTGTAATAATTTTCTTACTTGAAAAAGCTTAATTACTTCCTATTGATTACCTTCATAACTTTAGGGTGTTTCTTCTTTATGATACTTAATTGTATGTTCTATTGTGTTTAATCTTAAAAACGAAAGCTTGCCATCTCCTAAAATCTTCAAGGTTTTTAGGTTGCATGCTATTAGTCTTTAAAATATATATTAAGGTAGTTTCTCTATTAGTTAATAAGCGGACTAATTTCGCTTCCATTGTCTGTCTTTGCCAATATAAGGAGGTTAATAAAACCAATATAGGTTTACTTATACTTTTAACCCACTAGTGATTGACTTATTTTACAAAACCTTGCTGCAATCAATACAAGTATTTATTAGAACAATAAATAAAACTTGTTCTCGAGTTCGGCGATAAGAAACTGGCACTAAGATCGGTTATCTGAGTATTGTTTTATAGTAATTACCACAACTGCCAAAACAAAGAATAGTCAAAAATGCTTTGCTTCTATTCAAGAAGTGTGCTTGCTTGCACGTTCAGCTCATGGGCTGAGTTAGGGTTTTCGACGCGGTAAATTATCAGCAGGTATTTGGGTGATTGTGAAAAGACCAGTTTATTATATGTTATTCTAACAATTTTTTTCATTTTCGATGTAAACCATATTTTTCCCTAGGTTTGAAACACACATATAAACTATTTTAATTTTGGAAAGTAAATCCATGCAATTATCATGCACCTACATATCATGTTATACAATTTTACAACAATAATTGGTTAAAATTAAGGACCACTGATAGTGAGAGTTAATTAAGAACATGCGGTTTTACCATTAGTGTGTCTTTAGTTTAAGCAATTGACGGATTTATAGTGAAGTAACATCTTTTCACATATATCGCAGTCAATCATACCGGTTCTTTTAGCAATGCTATTTATATAGAGGGAGGGGTGAACTTCTTTTAATACTGATACAGCATAAAATAGTATGACACTTAATTGTTCAAGGTGCCATTATCAAAGTAAGGTAATAACCATGGTGAAGAACCCGGTAATCCCTTTTCTACTACTTTCCAACTTACGAGTGAGGGTAATAACTAATTTTATCCTATATCTTACCCACACTGATTAGGTGTTCGTTCGCGGTCAGTGGTATAAACCTTCCGAATTAAAAGTTTTTTAATACCTACCATTAAAACCTTACTAATTATTACGACGTTTATTAATCCTCAATTATTTCTATATCCCTTAAAACATGGCTACTTGCATCTAAATTGAGATTAAAAAAAAAAAAGTGGTTTTTTAATTATGAGTCGTTATATTATTTATCTATAAACGACCTTGTTAAGGTTAATAATTTTTGTATTAATTATCAACACATTCTTTAAAGATAGATCGATCGCATCCTAAAATAGGGCCTCTAAATATTTCTTTGGCTTACAAGAAACTGCTTTATATTATAATTTACGCGAGTACATATAACAAGGCTGAAAATGAGAGTCGCATCGGTGGGAATCGAATCCTTCTTTCTTGAGTTGCACGACAAAGCTCTAAACCAATTGTGCTACGACGACAACTCCACACGTAGTTAACTTGTTAAATTATACTGATTTTAATTATTATTATTATTAGGTTATCCCATCTATTAAGTTTCCCAAATAATCTTCTTCAGGCCTTTTCCTATATGAAAAAGGTTTATGCTTAAGCTAAAAGTATACCCTCTATTCTAACTTAAAGCCCTAGTTTCATAGGCTGCACATTTCTTATTAAGCACAATATCCATCAAACTTACACAGTGTTTGCCAAAAGCTGAACTAACATGCTTCTATCTTGGCGCTTAAAATCTATATTGACTTTAGTAATATCAAACATTTTAAAAACAAGACCCAACTTTGGTAAGCTATTTGGAAAATTAAACCGCGTGAAGTAATACCTATTGATAACGACCAACTTAAACATAATGAAAAATGGTTAGAGCAAATAAATAGTTTTTTTAAAACCAAGTCACACTTTCAATTTAAATATCTTTCTTTTTATTAAAACTTTTTTTTAGTAGAATGTGGAATTCTTATCCGAGCATTTTATGACTACTATGACTACTATTAACAGGTTTGCAGTTAAATTTCATTAACCGATATCCTCTCTGACTTTATTGGTTGGCTAAGCGTCTCTATTTTTGGAAAGTATTCTGCTTGCTTAAAAAAGGCAATACTTTATATAAGTGTATTTCTTAATTTATATAAACATAATTTACGAAATAACATTTAGATTCTTATCAAAAGATCGAGGACCTTGAAAGAAGCCCCTCTAACACTTGCATCGTTGTCAGACATTTCTAAAAAAACTAAAAGGTTTATATGTATTTATATCGAAATTATTTTGCCTCTGTGATTGTACTGGAAAGTATCTTTACACAATGCAATGTTATTACTTTTCTAGCAAGATGTGCTCAAGATTATTCATCTGCTGCGTAGACTAATATTGGACTTAATGACGAAATGTTTGGACCCCAAACTTTTTACGATTATAAAAAACCGTACACGCAATTTCCTTTCGAAAAAGCATGTTCTAGATCTTCAGCCCACTTATAACGTAGAAAGAAAGCGGAAAACTTTGCATGATAATCTTCAAGCAAGAACTCACGTGGCAAATATTTACAGGGCACCAGAAAGTAGAATGGTGTAAAGTTAACATAATAGGTAAACACTATTTCCTTTTTAAGGCACCTCTTTAACTAAATATCATGAATTTTCTGTCCCTCTTTAAGTAGACCTTTTTAGTTGGGCGTGGTTAAATCTGTCAGAGGTCCACGGTTGATATAAATTTCCAAAGTTCTCTGGTCTGCCCGTTGATAACTCCAATATCTTGCTGTTCCACGTGAAAACCCTTATGTGTTGAGGGAATTCTCTTTGGACCATACCAGAAGATTCCGACCTATCAACCTCCTGCCAAATGTCGGTAAAGTGGGAGAAACTGCTTTACTGCGCCGTCTTGGGAAGTTATTGATGCTCGCGCGCCGTTTCAAAGATCCAGTTTAAATTTCAGCAAGGAGACTCAACGACCCAGCAGCCCCTTTGCTTAACAATGAACACTTGCGCTTTTAACCGTAAGAAGGCAACAGGCGCTGTCTTCCTTGACGTTGAAAAGGCATTTGATCGAGTTTGGCATGAAGGTCTGCTGCACAAACTGTGCTCGTTATCCGTCCTTCATGGCCTTTATAAAGTGCTAAAATCATATCTGAATGGTTGCGTCTTCAGCGTTCTCGTGGGAGATCCCATCTTTGACAGCAGGGGTCCCTCAGGGATCACTTCTCTCGCCCCTTTTTTTATTTGCAATTTACATGAGCGACGTGCCCTTGCAGTCCGACACACACACAAATTGCTATCTACACCAATGATATGACCGTATATCCCTCTCCGAAGTCTCCCGCCTTGCTATGCAAGCATCTACAGCGCTATCTTAATACCCTTAATGCCTGGTGCCGAGGTTGGAAGGTTACTATAAATGCGATGAAGAGCAAAGCTATATTAAAGCAACCGTCCCTTTGTTGGTTCCCTTAACCTTTAATGGCGTGAAGATTCCATGTTCTCAAGCGAAATACTTGGGAATCATCAGCGACAACAAATTTTCCTGGCGGCTTCACGTGGGCTATGTAGTAACTTGGTCAAGACAGCAAACAAGGCGCTTTATCCTTTACTATGCGGTAAGAGTAAACTTTCCTTCGAAACAAACAGCAAGTGTATTTTTTTTGTCTTACATCCAGCCAATAACGACATAAGCGTTTGCTGCTTGGGCCTACGACTCCAGTGCGATAGCGTCGGCGCTACAAAACAAATTGCTGCGTATTCTTACAAAGGCGCCGTGGTTTGTGCGAAGTGATGCTCTTCACCGGGACCTTCAGCTGGACCCTTTGAACATTGTCTTCCTATTCCATGCCCTGGTCCTTTCCAACAGCACCCAAGGCTCACTTGATCGCCCACTGTTGAGCGAACTTATTTACGAGCCATGGGAAGGGCCACCTTATCATCGCTCACGTGACGCGCTTAAGCGCTAGTATTTTTTTCTTGTTAATGTAAAAAAATAATGACACCCTAAATGCTATTTATAATATATCTGCGATCGCTCCTGATTGAGAGCTCGAGTATTCGAAGTTTTTTACTTGACTGAGCACCAAGAACCGTCATTAATAAATAAATAAATACAGCAAACCAGCTTTATGACATTATTCATTATCATAACATTTTTGCATATTTTTTATATTCTTTTTGTTTTATTTTTTTTCATAGACTCTAATAGATTACTTCCGCTTTTAACTCTAAGAAGGCAATATGCGCCGTTAAAACTGCTCTTTAACCATTCCTCGTGGTTTATACGAGGTGTTTAAGTCAAGTTTAAACGATCACGTCTTTAGCGTTTGCGTGGGGAGACCCACAGTCGCTGTTGCGACCACTGGCAGCAGGGGTTACGTAATGATCTTTTCTTCCGTACTTACTGTTCGCAATCTAGATGCGCTACGTGCCCTTTCCATTTAATCACTCGCGTGCGGCCCTATACGTCGGCGATGCCACCAAATACTCCTCGTCAAAATCACCGGTGTCAGCATCCGCAGCGCTATCGTGACGCGCTCGCCGACTGATGTCGTTAATGGAAAATTGCTATAAACGCGATGAAGACAGAGTCCTCCTTATAACAAAGAAGGCGTCCCCCTCGCTCGCGCCCTTAATCTTGGTGACATGAAAATCCTGTGGTGCTCTAAAGCATATACTTGAAAGTCATCATATAAAATTTTGTGGTGACCGCACGTGGTCTATATATTGCAAAAGTTAAGGCAGCTACTAAGGCGCTTTTCCCTTTTCTATACAGCAAGAGCAAGCTTACATTGCACAATCAAACGACTATTGCATGAGTCCTCCATCCAGTCAATAATAACATAAAGGTTCTGCCGCATAGACCTACGATTCCACGGCAATGGCGTTCGGAATGAAAGTGCAACAAAACAAGTTGCTACGAATGAGGACAAATGAAAAGAAGTTCTCCACCGGGACCTTCAGTTAAACCCATCCTCTAATGTAATGCCATTGCCCTTTTTGACTAGCTAGCCTTTGACACTAACAGCTACTAGGAGCTCACTTATAAGTTATGGGTTAGGAAACCTAGATGGAAAAAAGATATAATGGTTTTATCAACCTATAAGTATAATGTACTTCGGCTGCGATTACCCTTGATTGAGAGCTTCGAGTATACGGTTTTGACTTGATCGAGCCCTAGGATAGCCATTTAAAAATAAATATTTGAACCATGACAACGCTACAGATCGCCATTTAAATCGATGATACAGTGATTTATTCATCGTCAAAGTTACCCATTTACCATATGAGCACCTAGTGATTTACCTCGATGCTCTTGCTAGCTGTTGTCGTTATTGAGACCTCTCCTTTAACGCAGCAAAAAGCAAGGCGCTTCTTATAACGAAGATATACCAGGCGCTACCGACACCGTTAACTTTTATTAGCATGGAATTCCGAGGTGTTCTCAGGTAAAATATTAAGGGTCATCATTATACTGTCTAAGCTGTCGTGGCGTTTACGGGTAAATTACGTGCCGGCGAAAGCCTAGGCAGCGACCAAGACGACTATACCCTCTATTGTGCAGCAACAGTAAACTTTAGTTGCGCTATAAGCGAAGGTTTTAGGTGCTGCGTTTCGGTCGATTATGACAGATTCATAATTTGTGCGCTATGATACATTTCCCCCGAAGTACAAATTGAGTCGCTGACCAAATATGATGTCGTCGCCATCTAAGGATAGGTAGCTGGACATGTCAATCGTCTTTTAGCGAAAAAAATCAGTTACAAGTTGTAGGTAGCGCCGTCCGCGCGACACACCCTTAGCATGACCGTTGAAAGCTAAGGTTTGGAATTTAAATTGACCGTAAGACACATTAAAATAATAATTTTTCTTGTACTAGTGGGCGCCTAAAAACCTGTTTAAGAGCTTATGTGCATACGAAATTGTTAACTCAATCGAGCACCAAGGAACGACGTTTATAATCAGTAAGTGATAAAGCTAGTGCGTTTTAAGTTACTTAGTGTGCGTTGAAAAAAGTACTTCATAGGTTTATTGACGTTAGCTTGGGAGTACGAGAGGGTGGGCAGGAAAGAACCAATATATAACAAAACTTTACTAGACTCAAAATTTATAAATGAGTAGACCTTCTCCACTAAACTCCCTAGAAGAGAATAAAAAAGCTACCGAGATTATAGATGATGTAGAATCACCTCTTCTTCCTACAAGTGAAAGTATGGAAATAAGCATAGAAGCACAGAAATTACCTGCAGTTACTAATAACATGTCAAGTGGTAGTAATAACTACATAAATCTCGAGTTTTTTAAAGAGTCCCCTAATTCTAATAAAAATGTTTATTCCCACAATATTATTTATGCTAACAAATACATTTCTAATAGCATTTATGGTAAAGATAACCTCGAAAATAATATCAGTTGTGTTAATCCTAATAGTAATACTATTCAAAGTGGAAGCTGTACAAGTAATTCAGGTTGCGGCCATATGCATTCTTTTTGTCAAGACGAGAAACAAAATAAGTTCAAGTTAGAAAATATGGCTAGACCACCCTTAAGCCAGGACACCACTTTTAAGTTTGCCTTAAAAAATCAGAAACGCACTTTTTCAGATAGAGAATTGCAAGCTTCCTTTTTTTCCCAAACAAACGAGAAGAAACTGAAAACTTTTCACCCGTTCCTTACTGATCGTATTATTAATTTTATTATTTATAGGCAGCTAATATTACTATATTACATGTTGCTTAAACTAAGATGTTTTATAAACTAGTGAAAAATATGATGTACGGCTTTGGAGACGTTAAGGAGCCTTTACTCGAAACAATTGAGGTTTTAGAAGACGCCGCCCTGGAGTTTATTTATGATCTTGTATACCTTTTTAACCTTACTTTCTTAATTTTTTTTTGAACGGCTTACAATAAGACTTTACGAGCTATCAAGATCGGGAAACCAAAAAACAGAAGTGCACCCAAGTTCACTACTGATGATATTTTGTTTTTAATAAGAAAAGACCGCAAAAAGTTAACTCGTGCGCAGGTATAATCACTCATTGTCTGACAGACTTACTTTGTAAAAATACAACTCTGGTGTAAATAGTTGTTAAATATATTTTTATTTAAAGGAACTCTTATATATGAGTAGAGAAATCAAAAAGGCCCGCCAAATGACTGAACAAAAGGAATAAGACTTTATCGCTCTTATTGTTTGCAATAAACATTCTTTTCTCTTAAATTTTAGTTGTACTAACGCGTGATTTACCCTTAACTTTCTATGAAAGGACATAACAGTACTTCCAATTATATTTATTAAATATTTTTCTTTTGTTGTTTCAGGCCCCTCTACGCGTGGTTCTTATCGATTAACTCTATCGCCTGTAGCGTAACACTGAAAGAGAAAAGCGAGATAAAGTTTTACTGAATCAGCTTACGCCAACACCAAAGGGCTGAAGCATCAGGTTGCCGTAACCTTGTAGGTGAATGTACACAGTTTTATCAAGGAATGCATTGCGTCTCTAAGTAGTAGCATTCCCATTCTACTTATTCTTTGTCCCTCCCTTATAACATTTTAAAAAACCCTTCTCATTGGGCTGCTCTAAATTATAGCCTCTGTTATGCTCTTTACCTTTTTTTTTAATTATTGACGAAGACCACCTTTTTCTTCTGGGGATGCAACGGAAAACTGTGTTCGCTTTACTCATATTTTTATTTTAACCAGCTTTTACGAATTTTTTTTATGCAGACTGTTCACTTTATTTATACTATTTTCTTTTTAATAAAACATTCTAGTACTTTCAACGTCAAAATGTTGTTATAAGTTAAAATGCGGAAAGCTCATCAATATTTAGTTATAACCATACGCTAGACATCCGCACCCTTTACCTGTAAAGCTGTTATCTATATAATTATACAAGCAAACTATTATTATGGAAGCTACATGTTACATTGCAACGATATAGAATAAAAGCTTTTAATAAGTTAATATTAAAAGAATGGTAATAAATATATAGTGAAACTCAAGCTACCCGTTAGAATACGTCCTTCTTTCCGGCCTCCAAACGCTTTAACTTTATAGTTTTTGTTAATACCTTTCCTTTTTCTTTACCCTTCGAGAAAAGAACGAGTAGTTTTACGGTTTATAGAGGAAAGGCTTGATACCTTGTACCAAACATTAAAATCCCATTTTAGCTGAACAGAGTAGCGGTTTCTAGCTAATAAATATACTTTTTTACGATTAACAAATATAATATATGAGCTTTAAAAGAAAAAGGCATTTATTTAGCTTATTTTACATAGTTTTAATAAGTGAACGCCTATGGCTACTCGTCCAAATTACGAAGCTCCTTTAACTTTTCCATCAATTTAGCATCTTCTTCGCTAGAAAGAGAAGGCATCGCTGAACCCACCGCCTGTACCGAAGAAGAGCTCGCGCAATACAGTAAAAAGAGAATACATATGGCTTACAGATGCGTCTAATTCGTGAGACAACTCTAAGCCATGCTGATCAGCCATTTTGTTTATGAGCATGTCAACCTTAAAAAAAAGTTAACAAGATTTTAAAGGTGCCCATCTTTTAAAGTAAAGCTGGAGAGATAGCCCCCTACCTGATCTTCAGGTGTGGATAGTGCATTCATACCCGCCATGGAGCTGTCCATAACTCTGGTTTGAACGTCAAGGTCTTCAAATTGAGACTCAAATTTATCCATAATAGCCGTTATCTGTTAAAACTCGTAAACACTCAAATATTATAAAAAGTTTCAAGATTTACAATATAAGCATATAATAAAGCCCTTTTTCATAGCACTATAATGAATAGACACGCACTTTCTGTAAATCCATTGATTCGAGAGCGGCATTCATTCCCCTCACTGCTGTGGTCATCGACTTCGTAGCGGACTTCATTGTTAATGCGGTCTGAACGCGCTGAGAAACAGCGTCAAGTCTGCTGGCCATTCGATGGTAATTAAGTGCTGTTAATAAACACTAAGTAGAATAAATTTGGTTAAATTTTGAACAAAAATCTGAAAAATTTTTAAACGTATACAAAAAAGGGGTATATATATTAAAATTACTGCCATATTATTAGTCTATACACTTTTTCTATGATTCACAACTAATAAATTTTATTGAAAGCGCATATAACCTTCATTTTTTTTCCTTATAGAATTTTCAGCATATATACGAGCACCATCGTTGTTACCTTGTTGAATTGACTATATATAGTAAAAGCAAATTAAAACGATGTAAATAATAAATATTTGATAAAGATACGATACCTTCTTTATTTTAGCTTCCTCAGTTTTCTGAGATTTTTCAGCTTTTATAGCAAGTCTCTCCATTTGTTTCGATGATAGTTTAAGTTGAAAATATGCCTCTGAGTTGGGCGTAAAAGGTTTAATAATAAAAGTTTCATAAACAAAATATTATTGTAGCACTTTCAAGTTCACGGGTTGAACCAGAAAATAAGGGCATCCTTATTAAACTAAGGGGAGCTTCTACGCAGCTAATAGTGATTAAACAAGAATGTTTTAAAAAAATTATGAATAGGGAAAAATATGAAAGAAGTTAAAAGTTAGTAAATAAAGAGTTCTGAACCTACCTTTTAATTGTGGTCGTGAAAACGAAAAAAATTATAAGTTAACACTCCAATGATGAATTTAGGTTTTAAAGAAATAACCTACGAAGCTCAGTCGCACTAACTTCAAGTGGGCAAAAAATCTCCGCTTAAAACTTAAATAAGAATGCAACCCCCATAACACCGTTTACTTCGAAACTCTCGCCAAACTAAACTGTGCTGTTGTCGAATTTAATCACGCGGTGACGAAGGTTGACAGCAAAGCAACGACAAGTGAAGTTGCGCCTTGAGGAACTAAAGGCATTAATATGTGGGGTGTGGGCTACTCATTCGAGTATTAAGGCCTTTCCACGAGTAAATATAAACTAGCGCTAACCCGCCTTCACCAGCACATCAGGAAAAAGCTGCTGACACATATAACCTGCCAATGGGTTAACACAAATTAATTGAAGTATTGGAGGCTGGTGACATCGGTCGCGCTTCCCTCTGGGAATTAGTCAAGCGAGTTAGAAATCGCGGCATCCGACTCAACCACTACTTTGCAACTGCGATAAACGTAGCCGAAAGCGATGATAATAAAGCGAACTTTTGGCTATTATTTAGCTGCCCAATAATCGGTATTACCCATAAACCTTTGATAACGCTCCCCTTGTATTATCTTATCTCGACTGGCACAACTGATCTTCCGGGGCTGTATACCACAGATAAGATTAAGTTAAGTTGTCAAATCCCTACCCAAAGCGAAAGGCGCCCGGCCCTGACGGCATCACTAACCTGATGTTAAAACAGCTGCCACAGCAGGCTGTCATAAATCATATATACTGTCTTGTCAACTCAGTGACAGTGTGGAACTTCGGCTATCTCCCCGGGTGACTAAAATGGAAGTAGTCGTGATGTTACGACCTCGCACCTGGAATCAAAGCCTCACAACTATCGACCGGTCACCCTTTTGTCGGCAGTTAGTAAGGTAATTGAAGTCCTTTCGAAGTCAGTTGTGGAGGTTCGTTAAATTTTACCAAGGTTTCAATCAACCCAAAGTAGTTTAATTAGGGCCTGGCTCGAGTAGGAAATACGTATTGCCGTACGACCTACTAAAATGCCTAAGAGAGGAAAAATATAGCTTGTCTCCTTTTTTACGTTCTACGTTGGTAGGACAAGTTAATTAGCATTCTAGAGTGTTAGTTAGTTTTGCTCTACTAAAGTGGAAGTTTATTAAAAACTATAGTAATAGAGTACAATGAAAAAAAGTCTTGTACTCTTCCAAGGTGTAGGAACCAACTTCAAAAATTCAACTTAACTTTAACAGATTGTCACTAGTAAGAATCTCAACAACTAGGAAGTAATCTTGGTTATTGAACATATGGCGTTGTAACTTTCCTGTAGTCTCAGCAACCGGCTTTAGACTCTACCAAGGGACGTTGTACGGGGCTAATGTTCATTCTAAGGTTGATTAAACGTTAATGTAGTTGAAAATTAACCTTGTGATGTTTAGTAACCCTCTGGTAACCTCTGCTTTCTTGGAATTTAGTTGAAAAGATTAAAAGCTAAAGATATTTGCTCTGGATTGACATTCTATTGTAAGAAAGCTTCCATGTTGGTTTTTGAATATGGTTGCCTTACCAGGAGGCATAGCGATGAGGGTGCACGTTTACTTAGGAGAACCCTAGGTAAGATTTGCGTATTGAAAAATATGCTCTAAAAATGGTAACACAGGGTGTTGACAATAGATCTTTGTAAGGTGCAATTTCTTTGAGCTGTCCAGTAGCTTGCATAAACATGTTTACCTTGAAATTAAGTTAACATCTGACACTTGAGCTGAACAGCAAGTCTATCGATAATTAAATCGTCGTATCAACACTAGCAGTATTGTATTGCCTACTTGACTCCTTTGGCAACTATGATTATCAAAGCGGTAAAGAAGATCCCTTCAAACTAACTCTACATTGGTTCTAGGGGCTAAGTTGATAGAATTCAAGTGGATTCGGCAAACATTAGCCTATATCTTGTCGGTTCTATTAACGAGTGATACGAAAAGAACGCTACTTGTATCGAATTAAGATACCTATTGTAGAACTTAGTAGTGACTAACAAGTATATAGTATATCTTTTGCGAATGAATTGAACAATACTCACTACTAATAAATGAATACTACTATTATATAGTATACATAAAGTATGCATTGTGAGCAGTGTTATTACTAGTATTCTAATATTTTTGTATATATGTTTTTATATTATATTGGTTTATTTTTTTTAGTGTTTCTACCTTTAAATTTTTGCAAGAGTTTCCTTTATGTTATCTTTTTATAGGTAGAAGCATTTTTTGGACCTTTAACTGGTCGTTTTATTCTAATTTAGGTTCTTGAAATTACCCTATAAGAGAAGAGATTCGTTCTCCTGCCTTGAGGCTCGCGCCTGTACCGACGCTTGGTATATTTTTCTATCTTTCATCTTTCATCTTGAGCGCTTGCCTGCGAGTGAGTTTCCTTTGCTGGTTATGGTCGCAGCGGCTAATAAGTCCTGCTTGGGACTCATAACTTTGCCTACCAGGCAACTGCGGTCGGTCGGGCTTTTAGTGATAGCATCGAACTTGACCATTAGTCACATTCTTTTGGCTGGTGTCCAGCATAGTGCACTCTTCATGGACATAAGGATTCCTGTCCCTTCCCCAGATTCATTGTCGTACAAAAGCACGAAAAGACGTGCCTATATACAAAATTCGTGTCCGCCTTTGACGTTAGCCCTTGGCGGTTCAAATGGTTACGGTCTATGTAGCTTAAAAAATTGCTATCCTAAGGCGGAATAAAGTTCTGATGTAAATTAACTTTGGTCGGGTCTTGTTACCCTCTACAACTCGAAAGGTCCTACTTAACTCTTTGGTTAATGCTACTAACACGGATTATTGTAATGACTGAAACACCTTTACGGTGTGATTATGGCACCTTCTTGGTTGAAGCTCTGAGTTGTGAGCTGAACGTTACTTAGGAGGGTTCTAAAGTTGCAATAACTAACTAACTTACAATTATATGTTGGGAATCACGTATCGAAAGATATGCTCTTAAAAAGGGTAAAAACTCCAAGTCGGGTAAAATCCTGTGGTAAGTTCTATATTACCTGTATCTTCTGGATGTTTCATTTTGCGTTCGCGACCTGCCTTGTACCTAGTGCCTTCAGGTTCGCTGACTTGGCTTGTCTCATTCAAGAATGACTTTCTCGTAGTAAACGCATTTAGATTTGAGGCGTCGCTTTGAGTATTAGCAATGCTCTCTGCAGTTATTCCTCCTTAGGCGTAGTGAATGAAGAGCTGGTGTAATCAATAAGCTATGAAAAACAGTTTATGAAAGCAGCTATATTATGCAGAACAATACTCCTTGTCCGATTGAGTAGTGTCAGACTAAAGCCACGTAGGCAAGACCTGCATAATGTGATGTACTAACAACATTCCCCTGTTCCGGGGCTGCAAGAACAACTTGTAAAGCATTATAACGGGTTAGCTTGTATTTGTGCCTATATTCGGAGCGTCTGATATTGGCGCTTCTAGTGTGAGTGCTTAAAAGTATTGTTAGCAAGTACTATATATAAGCGGCATATATATTTCGCAAGAAAACACTCAAAGACTCAATAAATTCTTCGCCTAACCGAATGGACGACCAGAGCCTTTAATTTTAAGGAAGACACCGGCGCAGTCTTTCTCGATGTTGAGAAGACTTTCGACCGAGTATGGCAAGGTGCCTGTTAAGCAGCTCCATGCTCTGGCGACACCGCGCGACTTTCGAGAAGTTCTCAAGGCATATCTAAACGGCCGGGTTTTCAACGTGTGAGTAGGCGTTGCGCTGTCCTCACCTCGCTATCTCTTAGCGGGGGCCCCACCAGCCTCTCTTATATCACCGCTGCTATTCGCGCTATATACGAGCAGCCCTTCCTTTGCCAGTCCACCTTCACACGCGGATCGCCATTTACGCCGAGGATACGATGAGTTATTCATCGCCAAAGTCACCCATTTTACTATATAAGCACCTAGTAAATTTTCTCGATGCGTTTGCTAGCTATGGTCGTCTGCCGACACCGTTAACTTTTAACCAAGGAAATTCCGTGGGTGTCCTCAGGTAAAATACTAAGGGTCAGTATAGGATTTAAGCTTTCGTAGCTTCCACACGTAAATTACGTGGCGGCGAAAGTCAAGGCAGGTGACCCGAATGTTATATCTTCAAGTAAATTTTCGTTTCGCAATAAGCGAGGGCTTTATGTGCTGTACATTCGGCCCGATTATGACATACACACCTCATGCCTGGGCCTACAACTTATCGGCCAAAACGTGCTCTCTTCAAGTATTACAAAATAAACTGCTTTGTGCACAATGTTACAATTTACCACGAACTACAAACTGAGCTGCTGTTCACAATCTTTAAAATTGATACCGTCGCCCTCTACGAACGGATAATTGGAACATCAGTTACAAGTCGTTGGACGGCACACAATACCACCGCGCGACGTACTCAGCAAGGCCGTTGAAAGCTAAGGTCTGGAAATTTAACCCGGAAGTAAAGCACACGTTTTAAAATAATAATTTTTCTTTTACTCGTGGACGGCTAAAAACCTGTTTAAAAGCTTGTGTATTTGAAGTTGTTCACTCGATCGAGGACCAGGAAATGCCATTTATAATAAACAAATACATTAAAGGGCACATTCGACTAAGGGTGTTTTCATTCCGTTTACTCCAAAGTTTAGCCACCAGAGCGCGCTCTTTCCTTTAAATCCGGTGATTATTTTGACTGTTGGACAAAGTAGGAAACTATTTCTGATAAAGAGCTCTAAGTACTTGAAGTTGTGACTGGAGCGAGTATCAGAAAAAAACCATCAACAAATAAATAAATACTTGTACAAGTTTTGTCAGCTATCAGCAGAAATACCCACAAAGGCCTATTTTGCAGGAAAGTTTTATCTATTTATTATTTTGAATTTGTTTAATCTAAACAATATATAAATGAGCTATACCTATTTTCTGGATATAAGTCAGTAGTAGGGTTTGCCAAAAAATTTTAATAAAGTGACTAGAGATGCCCACAATTAAATGTCCGGCAAACCCATATGGTTACTTCCAAAATTCAAGTTTCC